ACTCTGTCTCTGGTGAACCCTCTCACTGCACCTGCACCTCTGGCCTGTACCCCAGTTCTGTATGAATAAATCAATCAATCTTTAAAAAAAAAAAAAAGAAAAAGAAAAAGGGAGCTCAACAAGCCTGGGCAAGATCCAACATCTGTTTTTCTACCAATCTTGGAGCTATTGGGGTCCATCTCTGATTCCTTGTGTGGGTCAGCAGATAGGTTAACCACAAACAAAAAGCAAAGTTGTTCCACGGACAAAATGGGTTTACTTAGAAACAACAAAGAAGCATTTTAGAATGTGAAGTGTCCTGGCAAGACATACAAGCATCTTGACTCGAGGGCCAGCCCTGCTCTCCTCTGGAGGAGCTGTAGGGTAAAGATACCTTCTTCCTTCACTGCAGTGGAACAGCAATGCCACTTTGCAGGGGCGATGGAAGGCATGCTGAGTCCTGTAGTTTGCTGACTGCATGTGTGGATACTTTTTTTCCAGACTCCTGACCTTTTAAATAGGGTTTGTGTGTATATTTTCACAATTCATATCCTGGAATACTATCCAACATTAAAAACAAGTATTGGTAGATTTGATGCATGTGGCAAACTGGATGGACAGAAACTACCAGGATAATAAAAATTCCCAAAGATCACATACTAGTCATACTAGATATCACTGAAATAATAAAATTATTCCAATGGAGGACTAAAACTATGATCACCAAGGATTAAAAAGACTGTGGGATGGGAGCAAATTGTGTGTGGCTACAAGAGGACATTAGGAGCTGTCTTTGTTCTGCAAAATGTTCTGAGAAGGAATGTTCTGTATCTTCACTGTATCAGTGTCAATGACTTGGTGGCGATATTTCATTATAGTTACCACTGGTGGAAACTGAGAAAGGCACATGAAATGAATCACTGTAGTCTGTTCACTTTAAATGCTCATGCCATTCCAAAGGAAGTCAGTAACCTCCGTGCCAGGATTGAGCAATGTTTAACATATGAAACTTTTAACTTTAAAAAAATGTTTGCTCATAAATCAGGAAAAGACATTTGACAACAGGGTAGTCCTAATTTAAAACGAATAATGTCCCATTGCATCCAAGAGATAAGTAATTTAAATGATAGATGATGGTTATCTTACTAAATTTGGGAAAATGTCTCATCACAAATAATTAAATGCTAATTTCATGGTTACCTCTCAGGAGATTAAAGCATTACATCTGGCACTAGAAAGAGGTCAGATGTGGTAAAGTATGTTGAAAACACCTTTAAGTGAATATAAAGTGACTATAGTATATAGACTTGAGGAAAAATGATATACTATATTCTCCACTTATATGTGTGTGTGTGTGTGTGTATATATATATATATCTGTCCCCAGAGGGAATCTGGATTGACAGCTACGGAATACTCATTCCAATGGAATAGCCCAGGTCCAGAATCTGTCTAAAGTGCATCTGAATGCTGAAAAAGGTAATCACCC